TTATAGTGCTATAGCACTATAATGCTATAAAGCGACCGTTCCCCCCCAAAAAAGCCGGAGATCGCCCGCGTGGGCGAAAAACGGCGGGAAAAAGCACATCAGAACCGGGAGAGGAAACTGAAGACTACTTGGAAGCGGTTGACAGGTAAAACGCTTCAGCCCCGTTTCCTAAACGGGACAGAAGCGTTTGTGTCTGAAATTACAAATACATTCCGGTAGGGAACCGGTTCTAAAACGGTTCTGTCTGAAATGACAGGCCAGAAACCGTTTGGGAACCGTTCCTCTTCCGGATTATATCGTCTGTCTGAAATTCCTCAATGTTCTAGAGGCTTCTTCTAAGAACATGTCCTGATTGAATGTCATCATCACCTGAGGTTATTGGGCCAAAAACTATAATTGAACTATGGCCCAAGAGAGACTAGCTGAGATCCTGTTAGGCCAGAGGCCTGAACTATGACCTTCTTGAACTGTAATTGCTAGCAACAGAGAACACTTGAGCTTCGACCTTTGACTTTGGAATTTAAGGTTTTTGCCTTCTAACGCAAATCCAAAGAGTGTTAGACAGTTGAACTAGTTTTTCTTGGTTTTCTGGCTGCATGACTTTAGAATATTTATTTATTTATTTATTTGATCCTGCCCTCCCTGCCAAGGAAGGCTCGGGGTGGCTTACACACAATATGTTAAAACAACTAAAACACAGAATTAAATAAAACCACAACAGTATAATAATAAAACATATCATAAAGTGCTAGTACAATTCACAGAACATGGTGGCATTCACGACATCCAAAGTAGACAGCTACCATTATAGTCTGGGTTTTAACAGGCTGTTGGTCACAATGTTTCAGTTGGTGTTGGTATTGGGACCAGGGGGTGGCTCCCTAATTGAAGGCCTGGTGGTAGAGCTCCGTTTTACAGGCCCTGTGGAACTGTAAGAGGTCCCGCAGGGCCTTGATGTCATCCGGGAGCTCATTCCACCAGTACGGAGCCACCACTGGTCCTCGTCACAACCAGCCTGGCTTCTTTAGGGCCCAGAAGGGTCAGATGGTTTTGGGACCCTGATCATAGTGCTCTCTGGGGAACATGTGGGGAAAGGTGGTCCCTTAGGTATGTAGGTCCCTGACCATATAGTAATGTATTGGCTATAGAATAAACTTTCTTATTGATACAAATGTGAAATAAACTTTATAAATCTTTTTTTTAAATAAACAATGGTCTGGTTAGTTGTGTGCAACTGCCCTGGGGACCCACGAGGTTCAGCCTTGGAGGACCCCTTGACAGAAGCCTTTTACTGTCCTCATTGACAAACTACTCTGGAGTAAACAACTGGAGTGAAACACCCAAAGGAACACCCAAAGGGATATTTCTTATGACATAATTATAATATTTTTTTAAAAAACTGTTTTTTAAACAGTTCTCAGCCATATAATTGAAATGAGCAGACAAAACAAATTTTAAACTCTACAATCATGAAATATTGGGAAATTACTGTAAATAAATTCTAAACAATCATAAGAACATGATTTTTTACTATTATATATAAAGAACAAGAACTGCTACATGCAGAAGAGATGTTTAATTAATCAATCAATGAACACCCACTACACACACAGACATTGCACAGTTACTCTGACTGGTTCCTAATGCTAAGGAACATTATTCTAGTCTAACTGAACACCCATCCTCCACAACCTCACTCCCACAGGTTCAGGGCTACAGGTAGGTCAGGCAGCCAAATTTCATCACTCATTTTGCCTCTTCTAAAATATACAGAGAACCATAACCGTTTTACATCTCAAGTCCTCTCTCTCACTCACAGAGACATCACCAGACAGGGTAGCCCAATCCCCTTTAATAATCACCCCACACTCAAGAGCTAGTGGGGTTGGGGCCTCCACTTCATTCACACACTGCCACCATTTATTCATATCCTAATATACATAGGTCCATGGGGTCACGAAGAGTCAGACTCGATTGTGCAACTGAACAACAACAAATATACATATTTCTATATAGGCCAAGAACTTAGTATGCATGTATTTGTGTGCACACTTTGTTCCCTAAGACAACAAACAAGAGTTGACTTTTATTTCTGGTTTGAACATAACATTGGAGTAGATCAGGTAGGACCTACCTCACAGAGTGTCTGTTGTGGGGGAGGGGAAGGGGAAGGAGTTTGTAAGCCGCTCTGAGACACCTTTGGGTAGTGAAGGGCAGGGTATAAATCCAATCTCTTCTTCTTCTTCTACAAAGTTTCTTTTCAATCGAACTTTCCAACAGTTTCCCTATTTGGGATCCTTAGTTACAAACTGACCCTTTTCAGACAGCTTTAAACAGCTCATCTTCACAGCTTCATCCAGCTGGACTCACTCCCAACTGAATTAACTGTTGTTTTCAACTGTCTCACCCACTGACATTTTGTCAGCCCCAATGGTCGCTTTTAGGGAGAGGGGGAACCGAACCTGTCTGTCACAGCAGCTAGTGTACACAGCCATTCTTTTTTATATTATGGTAAGGTTCATATAAATAGATTGTACTGCAGGCTTGTCTCCTCTTCTCTTTCCTACCAAGACTTGGAGTCCTGCCAGAAGTCCATCCAGCCCAGTGAACCTAAGTGAAGTTAGTACACCAGGTGAAAGCCTGGTGACCAGGTAAATTATTTTTTTCTGCAACTTATATTGAAGTCTTTCAAGAGATATTTCTTCCACCAAGTCCTATAGTCTTCACTGTTGTTAGAAATTTGATTATGAACGCAGTGTTCCCTCTAAGCTGAGTTAGTGTAAGCTAGCTCAGTTTTTTAGCCTCCAGGTCACAGATTTTTGTCTTAGCTCAGGAAGGATGGCTCCAGAGCAAACTAATTTATGCAGCAGCCAAATTGCTTGCTCACAACTTTAATGCAATTAGCTCACCAAGTAGAATTTTTGCTCACAAGACTCCACATCTTAGTGGGAGCATTGTATAATCTACTCTTATTGAAAACACAAGAGTATTCAAAATGAGGGCACTGTGTGTCTACATCATTCTTGTCTCCAGCTTTAACTTCAGACAAAACTGCGAATGTTAAGGGATAGTGGTGCCACTTCTACAACATGACTCCTGGAGCCTGCGTTTTCCACTGTGGTTTCATTCCAAATCCTTGCTTATGCACACTACTCAGCACTGGAGTTTACAAGATTTTCTGTATTGTGGGCCCAATTTCTACCCATGCACTTTAAAATGAAACTATATTTAACACAGGGGTGTCAAACATAAGGCCTGCGGGCCAGAAGCGGCCTGAGAGCAACTAGTGCAAGGGAGGGAACAGGAGACTGCTCAGGAGGGAAGTGGGCAGAGCCACTCCTATTGTGCCTTCAGCATGGCAGAACAACCTCATCTGCAGCAGTCAAGCAGTGTGGGAATGTCTGCCCAGTGCTGCACCTCTGGCTCTCCAGTCTGCCCATACGGGTTTTCCTTTGCACCCCCCTCCCAACCCAGGATTCCTTGCAGTGAGGATACAACAACTGGGACCTTAGCAGCTGCTGTCCTTTATACAGTTTAAATCTCTGGTACCTGGCATTACGTTTTATGCCACACATGGCCTGGCCCGATAAAGTGGCATTTATGTCAGATCCGGCCCTTGTAACAAATGAGTTTGACACCCCTGGTTTAATAGATATTAAACGTATACACTTCAGATTTGACTTGCAGCAGTTCTATAACATAGTCAGTTATGAACACAGCAGTTATGAAACCAGCTCACAGCCTAACCTTGCTCATGAATGCCACAACCGTTCCAGTCACTGCTGAGGATGCTGCGGCTCAACGCCATCTGATTCCTCACACCACTCAACATAGTGCATAGTGGAAAATGGGGCAATCTCATGCTTTCTAGAAGAGTGCCTGATGCAGCATTCAACATGTGAAACATCTGCTCTGAATTTCTGAAAAAGAAATCCCTGTTTAGGCACAAGTGTCACTGGGGAACGAAAGCCAGTGGCAACCACTGTGTCATCCAGCAAACATACCTGTGTCATAGCTATTAGAATACTGATGGCTGTACCGGCAGCTTACAGTACAAACTTAAACAGAGAAGGGTTCTAATGGTCAATGGGGCTACAAGGATCTGCTTAGGACTGTACTATAAGACCCAGAGAAATTTAAGAAGAAGAGTTGGATTTATACTCCATCCTTTACTCAGAGTCTCTGAGAGAAGGGCCCTTGAGAGAACAGAATCAAACCTGGTTCTCCTTTTATTATAAATGGTCTTGTGCTCAAGAGAAAAATAGGACTTCTCTATATGACTTTGGAGGTTTTCAAACAGAGGCTAGACGGCCATCTGACAGCAATGCTGATTCTGTGAACTTAGGCAGATTATGAGAGGGAGGGCAGGAAGGGTTCCCTCAGTGCTTAGTTCTTGGGAGCCTGGAGGGTTTTTGTCATCTTCTGGGCGTGGAACAGTGATCACTGCAGGTGTGGAGGGGGAGGTATTTGTGAATTTCCTGCATTGTGCAGGGGGTTGGACTAGATGACCCTGGAGATCCCTTCCACCTCTATGATTCTATGCTTTTCTCCTTGTATCACTGCAATTCTAGAGGCGATTAAAAAACAAAAAAAGCTTCCCCCACTAGAGGCAGGGGAAGAAGCTGTCATCACTGGAACAGGGTTATGAATCCTATTTTTCCCACCCACACAGCAGCCATCCATGCTTTCCTGTGATCTTTGGAGCAAACCAGGTTTGCAAAAAATGGGAGAAAAGCCAGTGAAGCCCCAGAAGATGCATGAAGGTGCAAGGAAAGAAACAGCTTCCCAACAGCTCTGAACTTCGGGCAGACAACCCATTTGGGATTGGCCCTAGTTCAAAAAATCCCCTTCACACATTTTTTGAATCCACTCTAAAATCCTTGTTGTTTTCTTATTTATGATTTCACCCTATTTGGAATTAGAAATCAAACCCAGTCATCATACAGTATTAAATATGTTAATATTGATCACCCTAAACTAAAGAAAATCAGATGACTCACCTGATTTTTTCCAGGGCTTTTGTTACCTGTTCTTGCACAATATCATAAAGTTTTACTTGGTAACCACCAGAAGCAAATACCATGGCCCAGCTACATCCAATGAGTCCACTAATGGAAAAAATAAAGAAAGAAGAATATTAGTTCATATAACCATCTTGTTGGGGGGAGGTGATATATAATCTTGTTTTCTGGTACTGTAAGGAAAAAATTGATCACAATTAATAAGGGCCTCTTTTAAAGAGGCAATGGATGACAGGGCAGACAATAATGGTAGCTGATTACAAAGCAAACAGGCTTGTGTTCAGAAGTTCCTGGAGCATCCGAGACTATTAGACATAGACTTGCACTAGGGAGCAATGAAAATATTACCTCTTCAGAATACTTTGTGGTTACATTATATTGCATGCCCAAAGACCAATTTATATCACTGCCGGTCAGAAATCCTGTACGTGTGGTGGAGCTGCAGGCTCTCCTATGAACTTCTCACACATGATACAATACACAACATGACACATACAAGTGTCTAATAGAATGTAAGAGCACAAGTGTTTATCAAGCTTAACGTTAACAGTTATGGAGCATCAGAACATTAGTCTGTCTAGCTCAGTCTCGTCTTCTTGACTGGCAGTGGTTTTGTAGGATCTCAGCTATCTTGTCTAGTCCTGCTAACAGAGATCTTTATTAATGAGAGATACTGAAATTAAACCAGGAACATTATGCATGCAAAGCAGGTTTGGGTATTTTGTTTGGGTATTTTGAATTTGGGTATTTTAATTATTAATGTGGGCATTTTAATTAATCATGGAATGTCAATCTTTATAATATCAAATAGGTTGACTTTTAAGGATGTGTCATTGAAGACCAAGATCAAGTTAATTCATGCTATAGTATGCCCCATTATAATGTATGAGTTTAAACGCTGGACAATGAAGAAAGCTGACAGGAGGAAAGTTGATTCCTTTGAAATGTTGTGTTGGAGGAGAGTTTTATGGATACCGTGGACCACCAAAAAGACAAGTGGATTTGAATCAAGCCCAAACTCTTTCTAGAAGCTAAAATGACTAAACTGAGGCTATCGTACTTTGGTAACTTTACGAGAAGCTAGTAGATAGAGCCAGCATAGGTTCTGATTTGCCCCTGGAGATTTGATATACTGCCAGATGAGTGTTTCTTAGTGAAGGCGATATATATATATATTTGTGCATATGCACCAAAATATTCTCAAACACTATACTCATTTTTGAAAAGCATCCTGTTAAACAGAACTTCTGCCTGAAACGTTGAAGAGTTATTATTAGAATTATGCATAATCTCACTCCCTGGCATTTTGTGGTTGGCTCTGCCAGTCATTTCATGGCTGTGCCCACCACCCTTTCTGATTTTCATATGTGCCCACTGGCTTAAAAAGGTTAGGGACCCCTGGTATAGCTTGTTACAACTGTAATGATAAACATTAAATTTTAAATTTTAAAAAATTATTACATACTGAGAACTCAGATTTGGTGTTCAAAGATTATGCAAATCTTATTGAACAGCATCTGCATAAAATTTATCATCTGCCAACTTTTTGATCTAATCCCAAATACTGTAGTTTGGGCATAATTTAAGATTGTACATTGTGCAGGAAGGTTATATATGATAACACCCTGACCTGGATAGTCCAGGCTTGCCTGATCCTATCAGATCTCAGAAGCTAAGCAGGGTCAGCCCTGACTAGTATTTGGATGGGCAACCTCCAAGGAATACCAGGGGCGTGATGCAGAGGCAGGCCACGGCAAACCACCTCTGAAATGTCTTTTGCCTTAAAAAGAAGTCTAGCTTGCCACCTAGTGGTGCGTAACGCTAAAAGAGCTAGAACTTCTGGCTGCCAGACAATCTTAGGATCTCCTGGCTATACTACACACACTGCCATACAATTTCACTATAGCTGTAATGTGTGGCTTACTTTTCCAAAGCATTTGTACTATTGCTCCTTGAACAGGCAGACACTTCAGGCATGGGGACCCACTAGCTTTAACTTACACACTTTGAGGCCAGTTAATATGCAAGGGCAGGGGATGAACATATATAAGGGCAATGTAAATCAGAGCATCAGTCCTTAGGTTTGGATAACGGAGTCATATTAATGATTTGAAGCCATGGATGAGAAAGAACATAGATTTTTTGTTTTTAAAGGAAATACACAACTAGCAACCAAACACTGCAGTGCGGGAGAAGGGAGTAGACAAATCAACTTTGTACACTCATAACTTTGACCTTGTCTCAAAGATTAGTTTGACTGCATGCAGTCAAAAGCAGTGCAGTGCTGCTGAGTCTCTTCTAGCACACAGACAGATTCTTGCTAAATGAAAAGTTTTTAGTCTAACATGAATTCCTGGATCCATCTTTTGTGCCCTAACTCAGTTAATTGTGAGGTACCAGCCCCAACACACACACAGTTCTTTAATGGATAAGGTTCAGTGACTTATATATGGTCTACATACAATTATTTTTTTCTTTTCCTCTTGCAAATTATTACTGGATATCCTTGTATGTGTTACATTTTTATTGGTTTCTGCACTCTGTTTATACCATATATATTTTAGAAAAACTATTTTAATGTTGAATTTTTGTTCACTAAAAAAAAGGAAGACTAACTTATCCATGGCCTAGGATAGTAGCCTCAGAAGAAGAAATGCCTATCAGAGTTCAAAAAAACAGAAACAGAAAAGATACCAGTACAATGTGGCAAGATTGTATTTATGTTTGCTTCCTGCTTCCCAGATTCAGTATAGAGTGGCTTTTCCTTCAATGAAAAAAGGCCCCCAGTGTCAGAACAAGATTCACTGTCTAATCAGAAATATAGCCACATCTTATATTTGTGGTACAGTGCAACTGTGACTACAATCTTTGGCTTTGACACACAAAACCAAAGATAAAAATCATGACACATGTAAGATCACAGGGTAACTTCGATATCTCTCCATCTCTACCTGTTCTTGCCTAACTACAACACAATTCAGCACCTGGCATGAGAGTGATATAAATAAAAGATGCAGATATAAGGTGAGATGCAAATTTAAAAAAAAACTGAACTAGGCTTATGAATAGCAAGCCACTCGCCGCATGACAAAGGCAAGCTGAAAGTATTCTGGTTTTGCATAAATCTAATGTTTTGTCACATGTGTAATTTAACCAGAACTCTGGCATAAATACAAGCTCAGGACATAAACTCATGCCAAATCTGGCTGAGAACAGGAAAATGAGCACTTGGTTCAAATACCAAATGCTTTCATTATCATTCCCAAGGTTATTGAAGGGTGTGTTTGTTATGCAATATGGAAGATACCGATAATCAGGTATTGGGACATTCCTTCATTATTCTACTTTGTAGGCAGAGAGTCTGTGCAATCACCTCAGCTGAATTAAACTGCAAGAAGTATCATAAGTGAAACAGTATTTCAGCACTTTTCATTATTCTTGTTTTACAGTTAAGAGCTTAAAGACATTTTTCAAAAGTACGTACACAAATATTATGCACATTTCACTTAGCAGAGTCGAGACTATAAAATACAGCATAACAGTGCATCATGTTTTTAAGAAGCCACATACTTTTTAACTTTTAAGATTGTAGGTACATTCCTGTCAAAAGCTTATTTAGGTTCCACTGTTACCAATGGAAATATTAAGCACACATCCTGCATTTCTTCAATAAAAACTCTCAAATACTACACAATTACAAATTCAAGCAACTTCAAGTAAAAGTTACTAGTCCCACAACCATGTTTCTATCCCACTTATCCACATATACTTAAGCAGACATTTGTAG